CCCCCCCCCCCCCCCCCCCCCCCCCCCCCCCCCCCCCCCCCCCCCCCCGCCCCCCCCCCCGAGTTAGGGATCAGTATTTTCAATTTTTTAACGTGGCAGACATGACGACTAATTTGATTTATCTTAGCTTAATATGTTGTGATAATTATATTTTCGAAAAACTGTATGCTTTACCAGATAAAATAAACACACACTTATACTTGTTTGTTTTCAGTTGTAGTTCTTTTATTAGTTCCTTACTCAGTTAACAAATGAATACTCATTAGCTGATTCGAATGCCTACCTAACAGAAATGAAATCTACAAAACAGAAAGCGAAACCATGAAGAAAACACGTACGATACCCAAAAGAAATATGACAATGACAACAATGCGTACGTTTTCTAGATGTGGAACGCGCGAAGTGGTCACTTCCAAAAGCCCCCAGTAGCAGATGAATAGGTTTTTTATATGCTCTTTCTAAATGGATAAAGAAAACGAAAAACCCTTTTGTCAACCAACCCACCTAAATGGTGAATTCATAAAGTGTCTCTTAAGCAGGTGCTTGTGAAACCGAAGGCATCAGCAGCATATAGGTCTAGCATTCCAAATTTGGTTTAATATTGTTTATTGATCTTTAACGATTTCGTAAAGTGTAAGCGATACACTATAACGTATGACCCAATCAGATACAATCTAGCAGTAAACTAATAGTTCATTCTTCGTTTCCGTGAAGCCATTAAAGTTTATAAAAATCATTTATTCTAACAAAATCTATCCTTCCATCCCTCTATATTATTCCATTTTTCTATATATTGGCTTTCTATTAATTGCTATCAAATCGCATTTAAAGCACATGAAAAAAAGCACGAACTATACTATTCATGCTCGGTATGTTCTATTAAAAGAATCAACTCCATCGTTCTATGAAAATTTTTTCTCTTTAATCAAAGATGTTTGTACAAAAATCTTTCTACTACCTGTAGAAACGACACAATATTGTTTGTATTAAGAAAAAATCATTACTGTATAATTTACATAGAAGCTGTTCAATCTGGAAGAGAGAATTAAAAACTGGGAAAGGATCAGGAGACTTAAAATGTTTCAGTTTTAAACAACCCCTTTTTCTGCTGAAGAGTTTAGGAATGGCTGCACTTCTCTAACTCCTATTCCAAGGATTTTGCATGAAATCCTACAGATCAATCAAAAACTTCCCGGTTCTGTATGAAACCGCTGAAGGGCATCGTATCAAACTAATGAGAGTTTCATATCCTTCCACAAAACCTTTTTTTCTACTACGATTAGCTACAACGGAATCTGAAATGGTTTCGGAGATGTAGAGCTCAGAGAAGTGGAACCACTTCTGTTACCCTCCAGTACAAAAAAGGGTTCATATGAAACTTGTTTTTGTTTAGTGGTACAAACTAGGGATGTTACGAACCCAAACGTTCGACGTTCGAGTTCGACATCAAATATTTAACCAAGCAAAGTAGATCAGACAATTATTATATACTGTTGTAAGCACGAGTTTTGCACATATTAATGTTTTCCTTTCACTTTCGCACTTTTACTCGAAAAACAATTTTGCTACAAACAAAAGCGTGAATAACATAGATTTCTTTTGTTCTGATATGTGTGTGTTAAGAACACGTACACACAAAAGATGTGTCACAATTGTTAGAAAAGACAGTACATTTGTGTTTGAAAAGGCGAAGAAAAAAATTGACAAACTGGGCTAGATATGGGCGGGACCAGGGTTTTTCAGTCCCGTCCCGGTCCCGGAAACTTTTATGGTGCCGAAGAAAATACTTTATTAATAAAGTTTGCATGACGTAGATGTGAAGTTCAATGCCTAGGAAAGATTTATAAGACTTCCTGACGATTTTCCTCAATGTTTCTATTTTAGTGTAGAGAACAGGTCAAGTTTTAGCTGATTCTATGCTTCTACCGAAACACATCTTAGTTCTAGTGTTGGTCCCGGTCCCAGTCCCGTTGGGACGGGCTCGACCATGTCTAAACTGGACGTCTGCTCTATAAGGAAAAAATACATGCTTGATATAAGACTGTTTTATGTGACAGACTAATGATGTAGAATATCTTAAAACATTAAATAACATGATTATGAGGACTAACCCAGATTGTTTTGAAAATGATCCACTGTTACATGTTGCAGGCTGTGTGAGACACTGATTCCTAGAGGCAACACTAATTCATTAAGCACCATGAAAGTAGGGGCAGAAGGTGAGAAGTTATATCCGCTCAAGGTTTGTAATATCAAAAACGCTCCAGGCATGTTCTACGAGCCGTGTCTAGCCAACCTTCCTGCTAAATCTGCGTTAACGTTAATTTAAAGTTGAACTCGAACTTCCAAACCCGTACTTTTGCGAACTCGGACGTAGGTTCGGGTTCGTAACATCCCTAGTACAAACTCATTTGTAAATACACAAAAAATAATTTCTTTAATAGTGTATTAATTATTTATTAATTATTGATTGTACTAAAACATGTGAAATATTGAATGATGCTACATCAGTTGTTAACTTTTCGCTGCAATATCTCTGGTCGCACAAAATATTTCATGGTCAGTTTTTACCATAATAACTAGAGTATGTGGAGATATGTTTGTGAAAGCTTAGTGTTTGTTCTGTTTTAAATATACAAGTTATTGAAATTTTAATCTTCTCAAAATTTTTGAATTTTCTTATTTTAAGTCCATATTTCAGTTTTCCAGAAACAAAGGTTAACTTTATTATAGATAAATCAATACTATCTGGTGCAGAAAATAATGAAGAATTCATTGGTGGAAACCGTTTTCCAATATCTGCTTCTGTTCGAGACGACGATTATATTCTGCAATTATCTCTTGTTAATCTAATTGATTGATGTTATTATGTACCGATTTTTCATAATAGACAAAAACCATACTCGGTGCGTATGTATTGTAGCTTATCTTAAAAGATTTTAATTTCCAGTTCTTAATTCCACAAATGGAACCTGAATAAGTTAAGATTTAGTATGGTAGCAAGAACTGTTGAAACCACTGATGCAGTAGAAGCCGTTGTGGTGGTTGATGATGAATTTAATGCCACAGCAAAGGATGATGGTGTATAGGAAGTTGGTAGATTTGCCGAACAATTAGGAAAAACCGACGGATAATTACTTGGTCCAAAACATCCGGTTAAGTATGGAAATGTTTGTGTAGCAAAATATCCGTAATTACCGATAGAATCATAGAACATTCCATTACAGACATCAAAACCGCTTGTTACTTGTGTTCCAGTTGAATCATATGGGCCATAAATAACATGTCCATCTTTGGCTATGCCAATAACGGTTAATGTTCGATAATTTGTAAATTGAGTTACGCTGTATGTTGCTAGATTAGAACTACAAGCAGAAACACTTGCACATGGTAAAACAGACGTTGATTAATACCCATAAAGAGCACAACCAGAGCCAATATGATAATGATAAATACCAGTAACTTGACAATGCGCCAAACATGAATCAACCATTTCAGCAGTATTACCGCCTGCTGGAAAAAATGGATCAACATCCATGGCATTATTTACGTTCATTATCGAAACACCGTCAATCGATGTACCGGCAACAGTTCCTAAATTTGTCGATCCATGCTGTACGTAAGCGGAAGCAGACGGTGCACTACTTTGACTGTTTATATCACAAACAATACTGGAAAGAGCACTTCGTGTTGCTACATTGACATTCGGTGAACTTACGGAGACGTCTGGATTAAAATTAACTTCATAATCAACATTGAGTTCTGAAAATGTTCCCGAAGGTATGCTTGGACAAAATAATGGTAAACCATTTGATTGAACACGAATTTTAACTGTTGATCCACTTGTATAACATGTAACACATAGTTTATGTTGAAATACACATGAACCAAAAACTACTGTGCCAGGACAAAGAGTACCGCTTAATGATGCACATGTAACATTTGTGCCAGTTGTTGCATTTATATTGGCTACCGGCACAGTCGTACTACCACATGTTGTTTTAAAATGTGCAGCTACAGATAGACAGTTAGCTAGGGAATTACTAGCTGTTGCTCGAACATATATAACTTGATAGAAAAGACATGAGATAAGTAGAACAGCATCGATGTTGTTGTTCTTTCTCATTATGATCAGTGTCTGAAACATAATCGGACAGGTTTTACTCAAATAATTGTTGCTATAAAAGCAAAACGAACAAAGTCGGGTACATCTTTAACAAACGGTCACGGATACGATTTTCTCGATCCCTTAAAGCCTTTTACAGAATCCGCACAAAGTTGTTTTCATTGCATGGAACCAAGATGGAAATTTAAAAGCTTTTCAGTTTCATCGCTAAAAGTTTGAGTTCCTTTCCAGTTTTCAGTTACAAAATTTTGTGCAAAAATCTATTCACAGCAATTTTCTGCGTGTTCTCTTTGTGAGCGCTCACAAAAACCTCATATGATTGATCTAACGTTTGAAATTTGCGGCCAAAACTTTTGGCCGCAAATTTCAAACGTTAGATTAGGGTTTTTTTTAGAAAAGGATACAGTCTAATTTTTGAGATACAGAGCTGTCAATGCACCTTCTGTGTGCACATAGAAATAGATATAAAGCAACAAACGAAGAAAAGAACAAATTTTATCGTTTTATCCAAAAGGAAAATCGCATTCGTTATAAAATGAGTGTATATTCTGTCAACTTGACAGATTATAAAGTTAACAAATTTGGACGTACCCCTCTCCAGTTTTTAAGACAATTTGAAGTACACAGACTGTACTCTATGCCGAGCTATTTTTTAGAAAAGGATACAGTGTACTTTTTGAGATACAGAGCTGTCAATATCGCTGTCAATGCACCTTCTGTGTGTGCATGTAGAAATAGATATAAAGCAACAAACGAAGAAAAGAACAAATTTTATGTTTTTATCCAAAAGGAAAAACGCACTCGCTATAAAATGGGTGTAGATTCTGGCAACTTAACAGATGAAAAAGTTAACAAATTTGAATGTACCCCTCTCCGTTTTCTACGTCAGTTTGAAGTACACAAGTTCTCCATGCCATGCTACTTTTTAGAAAAAGATACCGTTGTGTGTTTTGTAAGTGTGTTCCTTTAAGGAAAACACTGAAGTAATACACACAGTAATGTAGTAAGTAACACACAGTAATACTGTGTTCGTTTCGTTACAGAGAAAACGGATTGTGTGCTCATATAGGAAAAAGAATCAGAATTCAAAATTGTACGTTCGAAGAGAATGAAAAAAAATGGCTATCTTCCTGTGAAAATTATTTGCAGCCAAATACATAAAAAGTATACAGATGATGTAAAATATACAAATTACAAAATATTATATACAGAATATATACACTAAGTATAATTTGTTAATTTAGAAGAAAGTCAGCTAGCTGTACGACAAGCAGAACTAGATTATATTATCATATAACATTGAGACAAACTTTTTCTCCAATATATCAGCCTATTATAAGTGATAACTTTTACGTCCAGTTTGAATAAATGCAACTTTAAGAGACTTATAACTCGGCACATCGATATATTGTTCAGAAAAAGAATTTTTTAGTTTTTAAGAAATACAGGTGTCAATAGCAAAGATAAAAGTTAGTAAAATGGATCCGTTTCAATTTAATTTTAGCGATTTCACTAGAAAAAATAAATGTAGACTTGGGCTTCTTTGACTATGATATTCCGAAAAGTGATCAATAAAGTTATGTTGGTCATTCCAAATTCGTGCAATTCTAAAATTAAAGTGAAATCAATATATTTTCCTAACTTTAGTCTGTGATATTGAGATCTCTACATCTTAAAAACTAAAGGAGACCTTTTATTGTTCATCATTTCACACTCTTATTCATTAATTATCAATAGCTGTGTCAAGAAGATACTGACTATGGATAACAAACACTCCACTTGCTCACGTAATTCCTACCCGGAAGTTCTAATCTGTCCTGAATCACACATATATACTGCAATCGAATTTACCAATTTTCGGACAGTTTAACTCGATAAGACTATTTCCTTTACAGTAAAGGGAATACCATTTCAAACCCAT